TACTACCGCCGCGCTCTCGTTCACGCTAGACTCTGGTGCGTCCGCCTGCTTCTTTCGCGACCACACTGCGCTCACGCCGCTTGCTGCCCCTGCCGCTGTAGCTCTTGCTGACCCCTCCTCAAGTCCAGTAGTTGCCCTTCCCTCCACTACCCTTCCCTGTCCGGCGGTTCCCTTGGGCTCTCTTACAGGCTTGCACATCCCCCCGTTCTCTAGGAAATTAATTGGTGTCGGTTGTCTTTAGGACCTTGGCATCACCACTACGTTCCTTGGACACGAGCGGTACGCATTCTGTACCGAGGCCGCCACTGGTGCCCCTCTTACCACGTTCCCCCGGGACCCCGTGTCTGGCCTGTTCACCCTTAGCACCGTGTCCCCCCCGGTGGGAGCATCCCCCCAAGTCGCCGCGTCTTCCCAAGTTATAGCAACTTCCTCGTGTCGGTCGCTCACCCACCCGTCGCTGTTGTGGCACCACCGCCTAGGTCACCCCGCACTCCCGCGTAAGCGTCACATGTCCCATCGTGGTCTTGTCTTTGGTCTCCCTGCATCGCTCCCTGCCTTACCTCCGTCGATTGCGCCGCCATGCACGCCCTACATCGAGGGCCGGCTGCGTTGTGCCCCTCATTCCTCCTAGCTTCCCCCTACGACTACGCCACTCCAGACCATGCACCTGGACGTTTGGGACCCAACCCCTGTCCCTGGGCCGCGTCGAAGGCGCTACTTTCTAGTGCTTGTCGACGACTACACGCGCTATACCACAGTGTTTCCCCTGGAGCGTAAGGCCAACAGGCCTGACGTTCTTATCCCGTGGGTCGTAGCTGCACGAGTCCACCACGGCCTCCTTGTGCTGCGTCTTCACTCCGACTGTGGCGGCGAGTTCGCCTCCGGTCGGCTTGGCCAGTTCTATCGTGCGGAGGGCATCACCCACTCGTACACCCTGCCAGACTCCTCGTAGCAGAATGGGGTCGCTGAGCGTTGCATCGGTTTGGTCATGGAGGTGCCTCGTACAGTACCTCCATGATCTATACTAGTGCATCCCATTTTCCGTGGTCGTTCGCTATTGGCTACGCCGCTCACCAGCTTAACCTATGGTCGCACCCCCAGCGGCCGCAGGTTTCGCCGACCCTTCTCTGGACTGGGTTCCCTGGTGACGCGTCAGCGTTCCACGTCTGGGGCTGCCTTGCTCACGTTCGTGCCTCCGGCACCGACAAGCTCACTGCCCGCACTATCCCTTGTGTTTTCCTTGGTTTCCCTTCGGCGCGTCTAACTTGCACTTCAACCACTCGTTGTCTCACCGTTTCTTTCACTCTCGTGACGTCACTTTTGACGAGTCTGTCTCCTTCTACACCCGCTTTCCCCACTGAGGTCTCCCGGTTGCCCCGCCCCTGTTCCTGGTCCCCACTCTGACAACCTGCCCTGTCTGGTGTGTCTTACGTCACTCCCCTCATGTCGGTTGTTCCGGTGGAGGAGTCGGCTGACTCCGCGGGCCCCGCAGCTTCAGCTTCGCCGCCTGTCTCTGCCTTGGTGTCTCCTCCTCCTCCGCTGCCGCCGCAGCAGCTGCAGCAGCACCCGCCATCGCTGTCATTACCACAGCATCCGCCGCAAGGGTTCGCAATCTCGGGAGGTGCGGGCGTTGAGGAGGGTGCTAGTGTTGGGGGTACTGTCGTGGCTTGCCCCAGTGGTCCTGGGGATGGCACCGGTCCTGGAGAGGGTTCTCGTTCTAGGGGTGCTATCGTGGAGCGTCCTGGAGGTAGCCGTGGTGCAGCTGGAGGTTTTGGAGTCGGTGTGGAGCAGCAGCATCAGTCACCGCCGGTGTCCGCCCTTCGCCTCCTTGGTATTTCCTCTCCTCACCGCCCACCTGCGCCTCCCCCGCCTGTCTACAGCCCTGTGTTTCCTCCGCCGGACTCGTCTTTGGCTCGTTTTCCCCCGCGTTCTCCTCCCGTGTCTCCTCCTGTGTCTCCTGACCCCACGCCTCCATCCCACTTCTGTTCTCGCTGTCCCTCCCGTGCTTCCCTGTCTCCCGTGTACTACGCTCTCACCCTATGTTGCTTCGTTCCCACGCCTCTCCTCCTCCCCTCCTCCGTCATCGTTGGCTGTCGCTCCGCCTCCCTTGTCCGACTTCCTCCGTGCAGCTAGTCTTCTTGTTCCTCGGGTCCTTTCTTCTCTTGTTACCAACCCGTCTGTTCCTTCCTCCAGTCTTGACGCTCTTGTCGCTGCCCTTGCTGACTTTGCCTCTACCCATAGCCTTGACTACGCCACCGCTCTGGTCTCTGGCCCTGCCCGTCCTTCGTCCGTCGAGGGTGCTCCTGCCCTTGGCAGTGACGTCCTGGAGGACCGGCAGTACGAGCTTGCTTTCCTGTCCGAGCCCGCACCTCATCTCTGCTCCATGCTGCTAGTCCCTGAGGGTGACCCTGACGTCTTTGACATCCCGACCCCTCGCACCTAAGCTGAGGCGACCTCGAGGTTGTGGGCCTCTAAGTGGATAGCTGCCATGGACGCGGAGATGGCATCTTGGAGATCCAGTGGCACCTACGTTGACGCAGTTCCCTCACCTAGGGTGAACGTAGTCGATGGTCGGTGGCTCTTCAAGGTGAAGCGCTCTCCTGGAGAGCCGCCGGTGTTTGAGGCGCGCTATGTTGCTAGAGGCTTCAATCAGTGCGAGGGTGTTGACTTCTTTCAGACCTTCGCCCCGACCCCGAAGATGACTACTCTTCGGATGCTGCTACGTGTAGCAACAAAACGTGACTACGAGCTGCACACTCTCTGTGAGAGTACGACCTCGTTACACCACTTGGCCTTTTCCATATTTCATCTTCCTTTCATTCCTCTTTTTATCTCATCTCCTTTTGCCTCATATTCCCCATTTTCCATTATCCTTTGGTTTCTTCCCTTATTCTAATTATATCACCGACCAAGCATGGAATGTTCTAGACACGCTATCTAGCGTAATCCTGTCGTAATCTCTTACAGCCAATAGCCTCGCGTGGCTATACGCAGGGTGATTCTATTTTCTAGAAGGGTCTATTCCTTTAGATAGGATAAACCTGGTTACTTGATGTACTCTGGAAGTATAAAAGCGCCTTGTACTGATCGATAGTGCAACCTTTCCTCGACACATTCGATCCTGTGACACTTGGTATCAGAGCTTTTCTCACTCGGCCGCGCTCAACAAAGCAGCAGCAGCGGGAAAACCTGCTTCGAAACACCGCCGGGGGCGACCAATTCGACGCCGATTCTGGTAAGCACCAGCTCCGCGATTTTCGAATTACCCCCTCCGTGCGTGTTTTGAACAGGATGGCAACCTTCGACAACGCCGAGGTTACCCAGCAGCTCTTCGCGCGCATCGCAGCCCTTCAGGAGGAAATGCGAGCGGATCGCGAAGCGTGGCGAAACGAGTTCGAGCGAGTAACTCGACTCGCCGGAGCGCAGCACGAGACGACAACGGCGACGACGCAGCAGTCGCAGCAGTTTCTCGAGGCTCCGAAACCGCGCCCACCTGAGCCGTTCGATCCGAGCGATCGAAACCCCGACGCCCGCAGATGGATCGCCGGGATGGAGATCTACTTCGCAGCCGTCGGATGGAGCTCGCCAGTCTGGGACGGTCAACGTGTACGACTCGCGGCGACACTGATGCGAGGGCCGGCACTCGAGTGGATTGGCGGCAACAGTACTTTCATCCACGGTGAAGCCACGTGGCAGCAGTTCCGCGCCGACCTGCTGAAACGATTCGAGCCGATAAATTCAGGTTTCCTTGCCCGCGAAAAAATTCATCGCCATCGACAGTTCGGGAGTGTAGCACAGCACACGCAGCAGATGGAGGAATTTTATAACCGCATTCCCGACCTGACCGAAGGGGAAAAGGTACAATCGTACCTCGCAGGGCTGAAGACCGAAGTCAAACGACAAGTCGCAGCGTCAAACTACGCGAGCTACAGTGACGTCGTTTCGGCAGCGGAGCGCTTCGACATGGTCAACGCCGGAACACGACGGACGCACGTCGGCAGTACGCGACAGGGCGACCGCTCGGCTCACCCCACGTTCGCCGACCCGATGGAAGTCGACAGATTCGAGGGGCGGCCACGTCCGAAAAACACCAACTACACGTGTGATTTTTGCGGGGTGCCGGGCCACCGAATCTTCGACTGCAACAAAATGAAGGCCGCACGCGCAGAGTATCGGGCACGCAACAGTGGCGGAAATCTTCCGGCCAATCAAAAGACAAAAAACGGGAGTCGCCAGTGATTGCGGATCTAGCTGGCGAAAATAAAAAGATCCGGAAACGGCCGCGGGATTCCGAGAAAATCAACTTCGACGAAGCTGATTCGACGCGAGCAGGAGGAAATGATGGGGGAAAATCTCCACCCCACGACCAGTCTTCGCCAGGGAAATTTGCCGAGGGAAAATCAGACTCCGCGAAAAAAGACTCTGCCGAGACGGGGAAACTCCTTGAAGACCCAAGAAATTATAAGAATTCGTTAAAGTTATCTTATAAAGATGCTTTAATGAAAACTTATGATGTTCGAGGGGCTAGAGCCTTGGAGAAATTTCGGGAGGGACTCCAAAAGAAGCAGACAGCTGTGGAGATTATACCGGTACCGGACAACTTGGGGACCAAATTAAGGAGTGTGGAAAGAAGCCGACCTTTCCACGGAGTCAACATCCTCTCCCGACACCAGCCCACAACGACTACCCGCTCCCCAGGGAAGACGTCGGTGGAGCTGAAGCAGCTCAAGAGGAAGCTGGGGGTCTACAAGAAGCTGCACAAACCCCGAACTCCCTCTACGGATGCATCCAGTTCTTCGGCATCAACGACACGCACAGTCGTCAAGGAAACTCCGGGCCCTGGAGAAGAGCCGTTCTCCAAGCAGCCTCGGCCAGCTGCTAGCTCAGGAGCAGATAGCAACGAAAAGGTGTGTACAGATTATTGGGATGTACCCTATGACCCCATTAGTGAGACTATCTTTGGGTACTCCGAGCAACGCCCGCCTCTCGTGCTCGAGGTCATCTGCAAAGGACGACGCCTCCAAGCACTCGTGGACAGCGGAGCGTCTCATACCGTCTGCGACAAGGCAATAATCGACCGACTTCGCGAAGAGTACAAGCCTTCAAAATTCTCTGCAACGATGGTGGATGGCAGCAAGTTACCAGTACACGGCGAAGCAGTGCTACACCTACAAATTGGACCACTGCGCTGGAGACCTGCACTCCCCATCACCAACATCAAAGGGCTTGACTTGATCTTCGGGCGAGACTTCCTGAAAAGATTCAACCCCGAGATCAACTGGGTGAACCGCACCGCAAGCATCTACAACAATGGACGGAGAGTGCAGCTACCCAACTGGGACGATACAGGAGATATCCCAGTGGAGACACTCGCACGATTCGAGAAGGATGTGAAGCGGACCGACACCGGGTTCCTGGCGATAGCAACAGAGGTGGAGAATGACGGAGAGAAAGCCTCGGAAACTCCAGAAAAGATCAAGGAATTACTGAAGGAGTTCCAAGACATTCTTCCTGACGATCTTCCGAACGAGCTACCGCCATACCGAACGCATCAACACGAGATCGTGGAGGAACCGGGTTCGAAGCCGACCTTCCGAGCACCATACCGGCTCAGCCCTACGGAGCTGACCGACATGAAGAAGCAGATCGAGTATCTCCTAGCCAAAGGACTCATCCGACCATCTACTTTGCCGTATGGTGCCCCAGTACTCTTCACACCGAAACCGGACGGAAGCCTGCGCATGTGCATCGACTACCGAGCTCTTAACAAGCAGACCATCAAGAATAAATATCCGATACCGCGAATCGATGACCTGCTTGACCAGCTTCGGGGAGCTACGGTATTTTCCAAACTGGATCTGCGGTCCGGATACTGGCAGATACGGATGGCGGACAACTCTATCCACAAAACTGCTTTCCGAACTCGGTACGGATCGTACGAGTATTTGGTCATGCCGTTCGGACTCACCAACGCGCCGGCAACGTTCCAAGCCGAAATGAACCACATTCTACGACCACTTCTGGACGAATGCGTGGTGGTGTACCTGGATGACATACTCATCTACTCGCGCGACATGAAGCAGCACGTCGAACACCTGCGACGCGTCTTCGAAATTCTTCGACGGGAACGATTCTACGTCAAACTGTCCAAGAGCGAATTCGCCCTTGAAAAGGTCCAGTTCCTAGGACACATGGTAAGCGCTCAAGGAGTTCACGTCGACCCCAAGAAAATCGAAGCCGTACGTACGTGGAAGACACCCGAGAACGTGAAGGAGTTGCAGCAGTTCCTAGGCTTCGCTAATTACTACAACAGGTTCGTGCCACAGTATGCGAAACTCGCGGCACCACTCACGAATCTGTTGAAGAAGAACACGCCCTACAAATGGGAGACGAAGCACCAGGAAGCCGTGGAGCAGCTGAAACAAGCACTAACATCCGCACCGGTGCTCATCTTGCCAGATCCCGAACGTGACTACGTCATTGAAGCAGACGCCAGTGATCAGGCCGTGGGGGCAGTCTTGATGCAAGACCAAGGGAATGGACTGCAACCCATTGCCTACCTCAGCAAGAAACTGCACGGGGCAGAACTCAACTACCCGATACACGACAAAGAGGCTCTTGCTATCATCATCGCCTTCAAAGCGTGGAGATGCTATCTCGAAGGACGACGAACGACCGTCTACACCGACCACTGCAGCCTGAAATATTTGAAGACACAACCCAACCTTTCCAGGCGGCAGGTCCGGTGGATCGACTTCCTCGAGACACACTTCCACTACGACATCGTGTACAAGCCCGGCCACAAGAATAAAGCAGACGCGCTCAGCCGGCCTGCACACGTTGCCGCGATTCAGGTCGAAGGGATGAATCCACTACTCAAGGGACTCTTCACACACGGGTATACCATCGACCCCGAAATTTCCTTGGCAGAAATGCGACATCTGCTACAGTGGGACAGTGACATCGCGTACCGGAAAGGATCAGCAAAAATCTGGGTACCCAATTACCCTCCTTTGCGCCAGTTACTACTCGAAGAATACCACGACGTCCTGTACGCCGGACACTTCGGTAGCAACAAGACGCTCACCGGTATCGCCAAACACTACTACTGGCCCCATATGGCAGACGACGTCCAGAAATTCGTCACCTCGTGTGATACATGTCAGCGGATGAAGAGCAGCAAGCAGAAAAAGGTGGGACTACTGCAGCCTCTTCCTGTCCCAGAACAACCATGGCAAGTGGTTAGCCTAGACTTCATCACCGGGTTACCACCTACCTCCAGCGGTCATGACGCCATCCTTGTCGTCATTGACAAGTTCTCCAAAATGGGACACTTCATCCCGACGCACACGACGGCACGCACCGAGGAGACAGCACAACTCTTCGTTTGTCACATCATCTCACAGCATGGCATCCCAACTACACTCATCTCCGACCGAGACCCCAAGTTCACTAGCAAGTTCTGGAAGGAACTTATGTCTCTGCTCGGCACCAAACTCGCCATGTCATCCGCATACCATCCGCAGACAGACGGACAGACCGAGCGCCTTAACCAGATTGTTGAGCAACTCCTCCGAGCAGCCTGCAAGGACGAGATCTCCAAATGGGACTTGCACCTACCCGTCCTGGAGTTTGCCTACAACAACGCTACACACGCCGCTACGGGACAGACGCCGTTCTTTCTCTGCTACGGACGCCACCCACTCACACCACAGAAACCGACAACACCAGCAACAGTCCAACCTGCACACGACTTCATCACAACCATGCATCAGCTTTGGGATCGGACCCATAAGCGCCTCCTTGACATTCAACAGCAACAGAAACGCCAAGCCGATCGCCATCGCAACGACCACACCATTTCCGTGGGAGACCAGGTGCTTCTCGACACCCGTAACCTGGACATCAGCCATCTCCCATCTAAACTTCGACCTCGCTTTTGCGGGCCTTTCCTCGTTGACGCACAGGTCACTCCTGTTACCTTCCGCTTACGCCTGCCAGCTACCTGGAAGATTCACAACGCCTTCCATGTCCAACTTCTGAAGCCCTATCGGGATCCTAACACGATCTTCGTCGGACGCCAACCGCCGCCGCCGCCGCCCGTCCTCGTCCAAAATGAACCCGAATACGAGGTCGAGTCCGTGCTTGCACACCGCCGACGTCGGAACGGTACCGTGGAGCTTCTTATTCGCTGGAAGGGTTATGATCCTTCTGAGGACAGCTGGGTCTCTGAGACCGATATGGGTAACGCCCGTCGTCCTCTGCATGACTACCTTGTAAAGCAGGGTGTTACTTCTACCACCCAGCTTTGAGGGGGGGAAGTGTGAGAGTACGACCTCGTTACACCACTTGGCCTTTTCCATATTTCATCTTCCTTTCATTCCTCTTTTTATCTCATCTCCTTTTGCCTCATATTCCCCATTTTCCATTATCCTTTGGTTTCTTCCCTTATTCTAATTATATCACCGACCAAGCATGGAATGTTCTAGACACGCTATCTAGCGTAATCCTGTCGTAATCTCTTACAGCCAATAGCCTCGCGTGGCTATACGCAGGGTGATTCTATTTTCTAGAAGGGTCTATTCCTTTAGATAGGATAAACCTGGTTACTTGATGTACTCTGGAAGTATAAAAGCGCCTTGTACTGATCGATAGTGCAACCTTTCCTCGACACATTCGATCCTGTGACACTCTCGACTTCTCGACAGCGTTTCTTCAGGGAAGTCAGCACAAGCAGGTCTACCTGCGTCGCCCGCCAGGCTTCACCGGCACCTTCACCCCAGGGACTCAGTGGCTCCTCCGGCGCACGGTTTACGGTCTGCGGCAGGCGCCGCGCGAGTGGCATGACACGTTTCGTACTACATTAGCTGACCTGCAATTCTTCCCGTCCTCTGTAGGCCCTTCCCTCTTCGTTCGTTCAGGCTAGACTCCGTTCCACATACTTGTCTACGTAGATGACCTGGTCTTCGCTATTGCAGACAGAGGCGCACTGGCCTCCGTGAAGGCCGAGCTACTGAGGATACACACCTGTACTGACCTAGGAGAGCTGTGCCGCTACCTTGGCCTGCAGATCTCCAGGGACAGCGCAGCACGCACCATCACTCTCACACAGTCACACTTGGTGCGCTAGGTCCTTAAGAGGTTCGGCCTTCAGTTCTCCTCCGCACAGCCCACACCTATGCCAATAGATCACAGGCTCTCAGCTCCAGTCCGTGAGGAGTCAGTAGAGCCTAGTGGTCCGTACGCAGAGCTGGTGGGTTGCCTCATGTACCTGATGAATTGCACTCGTCCAGATCTCGCATACCCTCTCAGCATCCTGGCTCGCTTTGTGACCACAGGCGGACACCGACCACAGCACTGGTCGGCCGCTAAGAGGGTTTTGCGTTATCCAGCAAGTACATCCGGCATGGGGCTAGTGTTAGGATGACACAGGTCAGTGGTCGTTAGAGGGCACACAGACGCTTTGTGGACAGACGACGCTGAGACGCTCAGGTCCTCCCAGGGCTACTGCTTTAGCCTTGGTGCAGGTGCCATCTCGTGGAGGTCCACTCGCTCGTCGTCTGTTGCCCAGTCTGTAAGCGGTGCCATGGAGACACAGGAGCCCCGATGGCCTAGTTTCTTGCTCATAGACTTAGGTGAGTGGCCTAACTCTGCCCCGGTCCTGTACGCTGACAACAGGACCATGATCCTCCTGTGTTAGGAGCCTCGACTGGAGGGCAGAGCGAAGCACATCCAACTGTGGTAATTCCTTATGCACGAGCTACAGTAGCACCGCCAGGCCCGCGTAGTACACTTGGCCTCCGGTGCCAACACAGCTGATATCTTTACGAAGGCGCTTGCGCCTGAAGATCATCAACGGCACTGTGTACAGCTTGGTCTAGTTCCTGTATCTTCTCACTTGCTGGGAGCTTGATTGTGTACTATATCTTATATTACCCTGACTGGCCTTGTGACTCCTATTCCACTGGCTGGACTAGTAGTGCCACCCTGTGTTACTCTTGTTGAGTTAGTACTCTTGCGGACTGGTCTTTGGACCCTTGCCTCAGAGGTTGGACTAGTAGTGCCACCCTGAGCTGCGTGTCTCTTGCTTGGCACTGCCCCTCATCTAGCCTAGGGGGTGTGTCATAAAGAAAAGAGTATACCGTAAGCCCCCGTATATAACACCCTATGGTGATATTAAAATTCACTAAAAAAATGGCTGGGTCTTAACAGTGGCCCGGAAAAATATAGTGCCCATGTGTTATGTAAAATGCAATTTGAATTCGAGTGTTTTAAGGCTTATACAGCTACCGGTTCTTGTTCAGACAATGTTGGCGATATGAATGCAGTTGCATACTTGTCGAATTCGATATCAGCATGACCTGGCGTGGCCAATCCCAGGCGGCCGTGCCTGCCAGCGGTAAAAATGCAGCCACAGGCTGCCAGCGCAGTGTAAGAACGGCTAGGTGCGGTGGATGCTGCCAACGCAGCAGACGTGAGGGAATATGCCCTTCCAACTTGGCATATCGAACCTGGCATGCAATGGTGTTTCCGGTTTGCGAAAGATCGTGCGCACTCCGGGTTGGGGTTCCAACCACGCTTCTTGTTCATCCCTATCTTGCCGCAGCATTCTTTTTCAGTTCTGTTTTCGTTTCTCGACTCAAAACCCCTCACGATGCCCAGGCTCTCTAACAGAGCCTCGGGCACTAGTCCCTCGGCTAGCAATCTCCCTTTCAGGTGCTGCCATGGCAGCGCGTACGTTTAGCGGCCTCTCTGTATTGCGCACCCATCGTCCTCCCTCCGGCAATCAGTTCCTACTCCGTCCGTTCTTCTCGATTCCCCCGGCACCACCTGCACCACCTGCTCCTCCCGCTCCACGTGCGCCACCTGCACCTCCTGCACCTCCCGCGCCTACCGCGCCTCCCGCTCCCTCGTCGCCGAATGGGACAATTCATGGCAAGACGATGAGGACGAGTTGTACTGGGAGGAGGATGTCGACGGAGAGCCTGAGCCTCCCCCGACACTTCCTCGAGTTGCTATTCCGTCTTTCCCTCAGCCTAGGCGTCGTCCCAACATGCCTCGCGTTAACCGTGATGCCGCACCTCCCTCCCCCAGAAACCGCAGGACGAGGCGCAAAAGAGTCTCACGCACGGCGGCCGAGAAGCTTGACGACGACCCTAAGCTATCCAACCGCAAGATCGCAAGGATGGCGGAGGTCCAGCCCTGTCAGATTCGCGAGTGGAAGAAAAACAAGATGAAACTGGCGGCGGCTGCTGGCTGCAGGCGTCGTCTCGTCGGCTCAGGGCGCAAGGCCAAGTTCCCCAACATGGAGCGCGAGCTGTACAAGTGCTTCCTCTCCCATCGCGCCCGTGGCCTGGCAGTCTCCATCAACTGCCTGCAGAAGTGGAGTCGGAAGTACATGAAGAAGCGGCACCCTGGAGTCGACTGGCGAGCATCGTCGCGATGGACCTTCCGCTTCCGCACGCGCTGGGGTTTGACGAGGCGTGTGAAGACCAAGATGGGACAACGCCTCACAACCGGTTAGTTTCAATTGCTCCGAGTGTTTCCACGCTGTCTTTCCTCGCAAATTCAACTTGTACTCTTGCGTGTTGTTCCCTGTTTGCCTGCTTATTGTGCTTGGTCTTTTGTGCTTGCAGATTGCGAGGCAAAAGTGGAGAAGTTTTGGGAGTTTGTGCGTCAGATGCGGAAATTGAACTGCTACCCCGACGAGTTGATAATCAACGCCGACCAAACACCTCTGTTTCTGGAGATGCCACAGGAGACAACACTAGAGGTCCGCGGCTCAAGGACGGTGCACGTGCGCACCGCCGGCTACGAGAAAGAACGGCTGACCGTCATGCTGGCGGTCACTGCTGCTGGACAAAAGCTGAAGCCGTATGTCATATTCAAGCGGACGACCGTCCCCAATATCCGAGTCCCCCCTGGTGAGTTCAAATCTTGTTGTTTGATTCATTCTGTATATTGTAATCCCCGTCCCATCCCTGTTGTTTTTCTCTTTTTATTGACCCCGCCTGATATGCTTCTGTCTTGGCTTGTGTCCAGGCATCGTCATCCGTGCGCAGCCGAAAGGATGGATGGACCAGGAGCACGTGAAGGACTGGATCACAGCAGTGCTCGTCCCGTTCCTTAAGCGAATCCCTGTGAGGCGTGGCGGTCGGGCGAAAGCCCTCGTCGTCCTCGACAGCTACAAAGGGCACCTGACCGAGGGCGTGTCAGCGGCGATGCGCCTCTTCAAGCTCTCCAGGGCCGTGATTCCAGGCGGCTGCACGCCGATCGTCCAGCCCCTCGACGTGGCTATCAACCGCTGTGTGAAGGCGCATGTGAGGCGGTCCTACACAGGTTGGTTTGAAGAGTGTGGCTGCGATTCGACAACACCCGCAGGTGAGGTCCTTGCCGCTCTGTGTCTGCGTTCCGCGCTATTTTGATTACGCGTGCTCCGTCTTACACTTCGTGACTATTCGGACGCTTGCTATTTTCATCGATAAAGTTTTTTCGACTCTTAAAGACTACCTTTTCTACCATCTTATCTCTCTGCGCCCCCGCCAGGAAACCTCAAGAAGCCCCCCGCGGAGGTGGTACTACAGTGGATCGCAACCGCGTGGGAGGCCGTTCCTGCCGAGCTCATCCGAAACGCCTTCAAAACCTGTGGCATCTCCACCGACATTAATGGGACGGAGGATGAACTCATCCTCGCCCATATGAAGGACAAGTCAGATGTGGAAGTGATGGATTATGTGCACGCGAAAATGGAGGAGAGCGGCGAGAAGGACCCGCTCTACGAAGCTGACTTCGTTGAGCCCGCCGCAGACGAGCTGTCCGAGGATGACGACGACGAATCCGACGTGCCGCAAGCTGCATCGACGGCATCCGGCTCGGCCGAGGTAGCAGAGTCCTCTGCTATGGCAGAGGCGCATCTGACGGCACCAGCAGCAGCTACTGCAGCAACAGCGACGGCCGCGACAGCAGCAGCAACAGCAGCAACGTCGGCAGCAGAAGCATCTGCGACCAGTGATGACGACGTGATCCAGATGGCGCCAGCGGCAGAGGTGCTTGCTGGGCTGGCGGCCTCCAACTGGACAGACGACTATGACTGGGACGACATAGCGTCCGACGATAACGACGTGGAGGCGTGGCATGCTGGCGACGAGGACGACGAAGAGGATGAGGCGTAGGTATTAGACTGATTTTT